TCATTTCCCAATACCTCCAACAAATTCTCTAATCTTACTGCTTCCACACCATCACTAACAGGTTGCCACCCATACTCCACGCTCTACAAACTATAGTTTTTATGGTCATCAATGCTCTGGTCCCAAACACAAGGACTTTTCTCAATCCTTGTGATTTTTTTCGTGTCTACAGAATTTAACATTGATGACTGCCCTATTTTTCTTTTCATTTTTAATAATGAAACTTTACTGCAACCATAGTTCTCTCTCTATCTCGCAGGATTCTCTTCCTCCTCTCACTTTCTGGGTATGGATGTTCTCCCAGTCTTCTTCCGTTCTTTTATTCAGTAAATGATCAGGTCTTGACTCTCTCCCATGGGCTAGGCATTGTGTTAGTGAATACACAATCCCACTACAGTGTGAAATACAACAGTTACAGTAGTATTTCAAGGTGCGCTTGGAAACAGAGTAGGTGCCAGGCTATGGCCCCTATCCTTGTCTACTTCTACCCTCTCCGTTGGAAATCTCATCCTCTTTACATCCTCTTTCAGCGTAATACAGATGGTTCAGGGATCAGTAACTTCTATCTTGACCCCCGTATGACTACCCACTGCTGCTATCTGCTGTTGTGTGGCTTCACCTGATACCCTGCACCCCTAAAAGTCAACAAGAAGGAAAATAACAAGAGCTAACATTTGAGTGGTTACAATGAGCCGGGTGCTGTCCTGTGTGTTTTATTTTTTCTTTTTTAGCTCACTAGTCCTCACGAAAGCCCTATGAGTTAGGTACTAGTATTATTTAACCTTTGCAGCTGAGAAACTGAAACAGAAGAGATTAAGTTGAGATTAACCAAGTTAGTAAGTGGCAGAGCAAGGTTATGGACCCAGGCAGCCTGGCTTGCAAGCCAGAGCTCTTCAGAACTACTCTATTGCAACCCTGCCCCCAAGCTCATCATACACTACCCTTTACACAGAACTTAGTTAATTGATTAAATTACTTAATGGCGTTGGAGCCCGGAGGAGGAGGGACCACCAAAATTTTACAACTGATTCAGCAAGGCTGGCTACAGTAACACGGTAAGGCAGCATGGCATATCATTAAAAGCTTGGTTTCCAGAATCACAATTCTTGGGTTCAAATGCCATCTCAAACTATTCAATAATTATATAGTCCCAGCTAATTTATTTGACTTTTCTATTCCTTACTTTCCTTAGCTGCAAAATGGGACTAACAGGATACCTGCCCCATAGAGCACTGTGATGATGAGATACTGAAGGTAAAGTACTTAAAATATTTCCTAACACCTGTAAAGCGTTCAATAAATGTTAGCTTTCATTCTTATTATTACGATGTACTGAATCATAGAAGATAATAAAAAGGTCCGTGATGAAAAAAATTTTGGACTTTAGCATCCAGACTGTGAACTACTCTCCAAAAAACACCCCCACCAACCAGCCACTTAATAAAAGTCGCTAAGATACCAAGTTATTACTCTGAAAATTTAAGGGCAAACAAGTAAGCATTTTTTATGTATTTGCTGGTCATAAGGGAAAGGTCTCTTTATAGAAAAATTGTAGCTAAAAAATGAAGAGTAAAAACTGGAAAAATCACCCTTTAGCAACCCCTAATGAAATAACAGATTTAGGTAACAATTCTTAATGGATAAAATTATAGATGAAAGACTGATGGACAACTTTATAATAGATGGATTAGGATGACAGCTCCTGAGTTCACAGATGAATCTTAACGTCACTAACAGTGAACAACCTGATATTATGTTCCTTTAAAAGCTACACTATAGAAAAAGATACCATTACCCATATTGTCCTTTTGCCAAGAAGTTAAACCTGAATCTAATGTCTTTATATCTACATATTTCTACAAGAAATATGGGCCATACGGAAAATCATTTTAAAACACATAAGCATACAGTCAGCCAAAATTAAAATATGAGATATTCTACAGGTTAAGTGACCCAATTTATTCAATAAATAAATGGCAGGAAAAATAAGAGAGGAGATTGCTATAGGTTAAAAGAGATTTAAGAGATCAGTCAACAAAAAGGCAGTTGTAGACTCTGGATCCTAATTTGAAAAAAATAACTGTAAAAAAAAGATATATTTGAAACAACCAGAAAATATTGTAAGGATGCCACCTCAAATTATTTAATTTTGATGGGTGAGACAATTGTATGTAGTTGTCTTTCTAAAGTGTTATCTTTTCAGGAAACAAAATGAAGCATTTACAGATTAAGTGGTATGCTAAAATCTGCTTTAAAATACTCTAGCAAAAGAAAAAAAGGAAGACTTCCACTTTGGGGAAGACAGAGTAAATGGGGTGGGACCAGGAGAAAAATGGATGTGGCTCTGAAAAGGTAACATAGGGAGATGGAATTGGTCTGTGTCTTGACTAATCAATGTCAAGATCCTTGCTGTGATGTTATACTATGATCCTGCAAGATGTTACCATGAGGGGAAAGTTTGTAAGGGGTACATGGGATCCTTCAGTGTTATTTCTTACAACTGCATGTGAATCTCAAAACAAATTTAACTACAAAAAAGAAAATATGGTGTGGCAGGGGTTAGGTGAAACAATAATAGCAGAAAAGTTCAGGGTTATACGCTTTTATGCTCAAGTGTCTTATTTAGTTATTTTAATGTTTACTAGTATCGGCATTGCAGATCAGTTCCTTTTCAGAAAAGATGAATATAGAAAAAGATGTTTAATGATATAACACACCAATAACTAAGGGTTATTATTTAGACATAGGATGAGAAAAGCATTGATTGAAATGAAGACCAAGAAGGACCTGACCTCAAACAGGAATATATCAGGTATATGAGGTCTTGGTTCCAGAATTCTGACAGTGAGTTAAAATCTGTATATTTAAATATAATGTTGAACAAGACACATAGTAAAGAAGTGCCTTTATAGGAAGAGATGAGTGAGTATGATGTTTTGTCAGTAGTATTCCTTATAGGAAAGAAATAAGTGACTAGTTAGAAAGAAGTGATGACTAATGTGTTACTGAATACTGCAACAGCAATTCAGGATGTGAAATGGTAATTGCAGAGTTTGTGTTTCAAGTCAAATTTCTGTATTATCTGTGGTGTTTCAGGTATAGAATCTGTTTTATGTCTTTATGAACATTAAAAATATCTGTGACACCAGAAAACAAAGTTCATGGTTATGGAATTCATTATGACCTTCTCTTTCTCTTCACTTGCTTGAAAATGTCCACAACCAAAAGAATTTTTAAAGTTTAGAAAAGTAAACTTAGAATTTCTCTGCAGAGTGGTAGTCTTCTGATTTTTCTGTTCTATCTTCAGGGGCCCAAAATCCCATACCACTAGGTCATCCTACACACTCATGCTAGTTGTTTTCTTCTAAAATACAGTTTTCCTCTATCACTCCTTTGCTTAAAAGGATAAAGTTTACATGAATCAAAAATCTCCCCCAGTCAGGCCTGAGCAACCTTATGCTCATGCCCTACACACCTCCTACACAAACCTTCCACAGCAGTCAACCTAGTCTCACGGTCCCATGAAGATAATTTTGGACAAAGTATCCTTGCTTGTGCCATTCTCCTGTTGGTCATTTCCTTCTCCACTGACCTCAATCCCACCCATCTGTAAGGAGGCAGAATGAAATCCACCTGCTTCATGAAGCTCTCCCTGATCTTTCCTTAAAATAACCGTATGGTTCTTCAGAGCAAGGATTGTCTATTATATCACAATGCCTAGTAGCCTTCTTGATACCATCAAGGTTTTTGATGAAAAACGTGTTGATTTAACTGAATATTTACTATACAGCACATGGAGAGATTACTGAATTTTAGGGGAAAAACACACACAAAGAAGTAAAAATGTTAAAGAGGTTTTAAAATAACACCAAATTGGAAATCAGTACACCTGAATCTCAGACATAGTACTGTAATTGACTTGCTATGTCACCTTGGACAACTTACTTAGCATCTCGTGACATTCAGCTCTAAAACGTAAAAATAACTAGATGTTTCATTTTTTAATGTGTAGATACTGTACTCGCCTCTGGAAAACAGTTCCCAAGGGCTTCCATGGATTGTAACTTGAAAAGATGATTCCTACATGTTACTCATCAGAGGCAAAACTTTTATATAAAACACATGAAGCAAAACAGTGTCCCTGATCCACCAGTTTTTAAATAAAACTGAGTCAATGAGAATACACTACATGATAATTTTGGAGACCATCTGAAGTAGGACTGCCATATCTTTTAAAGATACTACATTCAAGAGCACTGCCTGAGGTACCCGCACCCCGGGGGAGGTATAATCTTCTCCCTGTAACATTAAAAGTCTGCCATCCCATAACTTGGAGATGACTATCTAAGATGTACAGTACAAAGGTAGAAATGTTTCTATCACAGATTAGGACCTTGTTGAAAAACAACCAAGGTCTCCCAGAATATAGCAGCAGAGACTCTCCAGGACAGAAAGTACAATGAGGATGGAATACAGAATGAGATTAGATGTTAAGAGGATAAATTCTACTTTGCCTTAAGAAAAGAGTGTTGCTCTCTAAGCAGGCCTTGTGTACTGGGGAAGGTCATGACCCACAGTCTGCATTCGGGTTGGAAGTGGTGGTAATAGCAACCAAACAATGGCACAGAGCGCCCTCACAGCCACTCCCTGGGGTTGCCCAGGCTGGAAGAGAAGAGAGTTGTGTGAGAATCAGCTGTACCCGCTACGGGTCCTTAATGAACTCAGGAGAGCACCCATCAAAGAGAACGTTAACACCTGAGCGGGGAGGAAACACTCCTGCTGTGGAACTTTGATTTCTTTAGGAGGTGGAGGCTGGTTCCATGAGAGAGCCCAACGCAGAACTGTGATGGGCTAATGGGATGAACTGGGAAGCAGAGGACCTTGGGGATGAGTGAGCAGAGATTGTAAGAACCCAGAGATTCGTCAGGGGGAGAAGAGCAAGAAGCAGCAGTTACTTTTTCTCTGTGCTGGCCCAGCAGCACCAGGGTTCCGGCAGTTACCTGAGGTTTCTTCACCTTAATGATCCACGTGGGCGGAACAATAACAGCAGCGTGAGCCCCCAAGGAGCAGGGTTCCTCAATCTGGTGCAGCATGAAGCAGGTCACCTTATTGTGAAACTAAAGGGAAAAACAGGCCAGTAAACAATTCTGTGCAAAGGACGATGCTGCCACAAGAAGGAATAAGTGCATGTATACACACACACACACACACACATACACACACACACACTCTCTCTCTGAGGTCACACGCTCTCATCACTGCCCAACCAGCCCCAAGAACTTAGAGACCAGATTTCAAATTCATTCCACTTTACAAACTGATAACGATTGATAACAAGAAATCCATCTTACAGGACAAGCCGGCTAAAATTTGATAAGCTTTTAATAGGATATTTACATAAAGACCTTAGAGACTTGGAGGGGTCTACGAAGGCTAACTTTGCACATAATTTTGTTTCACTTGGCTTGCGCCGGTGACAGACTTGGTTGATCTGGGACGATGTCCAGAAGGAAACGAAGGCAAGCAGAAAGGCAATGCCGACCATCTGCCTCTCCTTTTTCTATCCATAGATGTAAATCCTTCCCAGGTCGTCCTTCCAGTGTAGGGGACCCAGGAAAGATGTCTCTTCTAGAGAGCTGTTAATCTGAGAGGGAACAAAAAGACTGCTTCTGCTAGGTTTGTCTAGGACCACTGAGAAAATAATGGTCACGTCATACTTGGCAAGTCTAAAGTGCTTTTTGTTTTCGAAAGGACGTAAAAGCAGATATAATGATCATAATGATACCGCAGTTCTAGGGCCTTAAGTTTATACCCCAATGGACTGAGTAACCTTAGGCCAATCACATGTGGTTTTTTTTTTTTAGATGTTGAGGGTAGGAGTTTATTTTTATTAATTTATTTCTTTTCGCTGTGTTGGGTCTTCGTTTCTGTGCGAGGGCTTTCTCTAGTTGTGGCAAGCGGGGGCCACTCTTCATCGCGGTGCGCGGGCCTCTCACTGTCGCGGCCTCTCTTGTTGCAGAGCACAGGCTCCAGACGCGCAGGCTCAGTAGTTGTGGCTCACGGGCCCAGTTGCTCCGCGGCATGTGGGATCCTCCCAGACCAGGGCTCGAACCCGTGTCCCCTGCATTAGCAGGCGGATTCTCAACCACTGCGCCGCCAGGGAAGCCCAGGCCAATCACATTTTCAATCATCTTTTTTGGTGACTGTAAAGTGATAATGAGTGGTAACATTTGTTTTCTAATAAACATAAAATCCCCATTAACATTAGCTTCTACTTGGATTACACTTACTATGACCACATAATTTATCATCTTAACTGAAACAATTTTAAGAATGAAAGGGAGCGCTGGTAATAATTATGCTGGAACAGCAGACATAAATTAGGGCTGTTTCAGGAAAACTGGCAAATATAGCCACCCCAATTATGTCACATCAAGGAAATTGTCTTTATCGCTGAATATCTTCAAGATCTGACATTATCCATGGCAAATTACTAAATTAATTAAGCGTGAAATACTAATTAATAAGATAATAAATAATTCCCCCTACCACCAGTTACTTGTGATCTGCAAACAATTTGCTATACCAGAGAAATGTCATTTGAATTCCTTTTTTAGAAAGTGATTTTCTTTTAGCAATTCAAATAAACCCCCAAATGAATGGCCGTTGCATTTCTAAAATGGTAGGGATCTCAGAGACTGCCTACTCCAACTCTCTCAATTTATACCCGAGTAATCTCTAATCTAGAGAGACTAAGAGGTATGTCCAAAACTGCAGGACTTCTAAGTGGTAGAGTCAGGACCTGAATCCATGCAACCCAGCTCCCAAACCCAGTTTTATTTTCTGCTGCAGGAAGCGCCCATAGAAGGCACTTAATTGTTTGACATCACATATCCTAGAAGGAATTACCTGTAGTGTTAAAATACACCACCACTGTAATCTGTCTTAAAATGTTCTGTGTTTTCAGTCCTTGAAAAATCACGTTGTAAACCTGGGAAACTCAAAGATATCAATACTTGGAACTGACCAAAACTCTGCCACAGGGGTCAAGCGAAAGTTGTTTTTTAGTGATTCAACTGGACTACAGATTAATAAAAAGAGAGCACATGTGTTCACTGTCAAGTGGGACTGAGTTCCCAAATTAAATAACCCTGGATCAACCGCCTAACCACCACCTGGCAGCTACGGGGGCACGAGCGGGCACATCCTATCTGAGGCCGGCTTGATGCCATTTGGCAAGTAACATCTCACCAGATCAGGGAAACCAGCAGCACAGAGTTGGGGACCCCTGGGCCCTAAATCTGCTTCTTCCTGTCCAGGTGGAGATACTACTTTGATGGCATAGTCTCATTCAAGGACTAGGATGGCCTTATGTTTGTGAACATGTTCTTGAACAGAAGCACAAAGATTATTCGTGTAACAATTAACTGAAAGGAGATGGAAATGCCAAGAATAAAAAATGTGCCAGGAGGGTGACACACAGCAAGCACTGAGCTTTCCAGACCAAGGCGTCCCTCCCTAGTGACAGCAGATCCTCCTGACAGGTGCGGGCCTAGGGAAATCCATCTTACAGGACAAGCCGGCCCGACAGGTGCGGGCCTAGGGAAATCCATCTTACAGGACAAGCCGGCCCGACACGTGCGGGCCTAGGGAAATTACGCCAGAGAGATTATTAGGTTGAACCTGATGGAACTGCCAAAATTCAAAAGTTTTTGACCCACAAAAATGTCAGTTTCATGTGTTTCAACTAAATGCATCTTCTGCTCCTGCCCTATGGCTCTGTTTGGCAGGCAAAGCCGTTGTGTGTAGAGTCCTGATGTTTTCCTTCAAGCCCTTACCCTCGCTAAAACAGCACAGCCCTTTCTTTTCAGGTTGGCTGTGCAGTGAGGGGACAAGGTATCGCAATTATACAGTCATTCAAAAAAACAAAAACAACAACAACAACAAAAAAACAGGTGAATTGAGAGATTAGAGCAGGGGTCCAGACTTTTTCTATAAAATGACTGGATAGTAACTATTTTAGTCTTACAGGGTCATACTGTTTCTGCCCCAACTACTCAACTCTGCTGCTGTAGCATGAAAGTAGCCAGAGATAATACATAAAGGATGGGCATGGCTGTGTTCCAATAAAACTTTATTTATAAAAACAGGCAGCAGTCAGATTTGGTCTACAGGCCATAGTTTGCCAACTTATGAGTTAGAGTATACATTGCCTAGTTAAAGAAAAAAACAGGTCCACAGGCAAACAAAAAAATAAACCATCTAGTTGGGACAGAGCTGTTAAAAAATGAACAAAAGACAGATAAGAGAGGAAAAGGATCCTGATCAGTATATATGTTCAAATGTAAGAAAGACTTACATTTCAATGAGCATACAGCCAACTATAACAACATCAAAACCTAAAGAAGGATACAAGACCACTCTTATCCTAACATAGCCCCATTATAAAAAAAAAAGTTGCCCACATCCAAAACAGAAGAACCAAGATGCCTGAATTTCTGTGTCAGAGGGATTATCTAAGGTTGCAATCTCCCACTATAGGAGTCATCGACAATCTAATGTAGTGGGGAAAATGTGGCGTAAGAGTGAAAAGCCCTTGATTCTAAACCCAGGGACAGAACCAGGAGAGGATTTTCCAATCTGTGATCCCAGGCTTCAATGTATAAAGGGGTTAATTTATAGTTTCTTCCAGCTCATTTATGCTATAGTTCTATAGTTTTGATCTGTCTTTCTTCCTCCACAGATCCTATGAGAGAAATAATACATAAATTAGGATAACGTTCCACTTACAGACAGGAACTCCAGCAATGACATAAGTCGATTTTGATAAAACACGAGCCCACTTTATTTTATCCCCAAACTTACCGCCTGCTTGCACCAGGAACAGCTGATAGCCACAATCTCTTTACTGTGGAAGGAGAATTTTTGCTGGAAGCCCTGGGATGTCAGAATAAGAAACAGAGAATTAAAACCACTTCAAACACAGTATGCATCTGCCCTCCTGAAGTCCAACGAAGTAAGGCCAGGCTTAAGGTAACTGGGATGGCAAATGCCACACTCGGCACTGCGGCATCTCCAACTTCTACCACACACAAGAGTTTCCTATCCCCGAATCCTCTGGAATGTGAGAGAGGAGGCACCAGCATTTCCTTAACACTACTCAAAGTCAGACACAAAAACGTTTTTCTTTTTCTCCCAAGTAAATGAGGTTCTGATACATTTTTATAGTAAGTAAAAGGAAGAGCCGCTTTTGGTTCGCATGACTCTTTATAACGGTCATCCATCTCAGAGGTTCTATACAACCTGAACATGGAGAACCCACAAAGAGAAATGAAGCATGAGAGAGGCAGGTGACCTAGAAGTGAGAGTCTGGGAGATGTCCCAGGGTAGAGGAGGAAATGCAAACTCTTTCATCATCCACGGGGGATGTTGGACTCAAAACAAGCAGCTTTCAATGTCCATTTTTCGACAGCAAGCAGCAATGAGATGAATGGAATAGCAAACACAATCCTCTTAATGAACAAACAGAATTACTTTTCCATCCAGAAAGGAAGAGATGCTTTTTGGCTGCTTCTGTCCCTGCCAGAGAGAAGTACACAGTAACGCTCAAGGAATTTTTTTTAGCTTTCCCAAAGCTCATCCATTTCTATCTGCCTGTGAAATCTAAGCCAAACAAAATAATGCAGATCAATGACAAAAAAAAATCTGAAAACAAGGCTTTTGTAAAGTAATCCAAAGAAAACAGAAAGATGTGACGGGCAGGAAAGTTTTTAAGGCATTGGCTGACTAAGTCTTGCTTAACGTATACAGATAACTTTAAGTTAAAAAAACCCAAAAACTCAATTTACACATTATTAAAAGAAGTCCCAACAGCATTTTTGCAGTCCCCGTAATTCCCACCTATCTACAGCATTTTATATACTAATGAGCATTTCCTCCTTTTGGGTCCTCTCGCCTCTCTTGGGTTTCCTAAAACACATTCCAGGTCTCCTTGTCCCTCTGCAATCTCCTGCATGTGGACATAAGACCGGGACGAGTGTCAATCCTCTGTGCTCTGCAATTCCTCCTTGAATCCTTCTCTTTTCTCCCCAGCCTCAACTCTCACTTCTAGAAACAGGACCTCTTCCTTAACACCGGACTCTCCTGGATTCTGAAAAGTTTCTCCATCAATATCCCTTTCTCAACAGCTTAAGTAATAATGGAATCACTCAGGGAAGAGGAGTTCACAGAACAAGCATGAGTCTGCTCTCCTTACAAAGCCCTGCTTGGAACGTTGGTCCTTGGCTGGCATTCGGGAACTTGAACTTCAGGAGGGGTTCCAAGGTTCCCAGAACAGATAAGGGTGACTGACTGTGCCTGAACTGTTTGTACAAACAGCCTGATGTATGCTGAACACCTGCTTTCCTTCTGGGAGTCTGGAGGTTGGGTATGTGCTTAGCAGGTTATGTGCTTATGTCACCAGCCCCCAATAAAACCTACTCACCGAGCTTCTGATGAAACTAGGAGACAATATTTCACACGTGTTGTCACAACTCATGTTGGAAGAACTGAGCACACCCTCTGTAACCGTTAGAAGACTTTTGGAGCTTCCACTTGGTTTCCCCCAGACTCTACCCCACGGGCCTTTCCTTTGTTGACTTTGCTTCGTAGCCTTTTGTTATAATAAATCACAGCTGTGAGTAATATACAGCGTCCTATGAGTCCTCCTAGTGAATACTGAAACTGGGGCGGTCTTAAGGACACCAAACATACTCATCTCCCCACAAACAATGAGTCTTGCTATACCTCCTCTGTCAAGGAGAATATCATTCCCCCAGGAAAGGATGCACTTTTGTAAAACACACACGGACTGAATTATTAGGACAGGATGGCGTCCACAGGTTTACTGCTGTGGCAGCCAGCCACCACCTGCACAGCCCCTGGCATCAGTTATCACTGCCTGACAGAAATAGCTTCCGGGGAGGACACCAAGTCCACTGGACCACAGGGTTAGGTAGAGAGGTCCCTTCAAAGATGAGGCACAAACTATTCAATGTGAAACGAAACGGCACTAAATAGGCAGGAATGATTTCACATCAGAGTCACTTGAAAAGTTCTTCCTCTTTGCTCAAGCCACTCTTGATGGGCTGAGCAAAAAAAGAGATGAATAAAGCTTCTCTTCAGAGCTATAGCTATAGAGCCCTTCCCGCTGTGTACAGAAGCAAGCCAGCAGGCAAGAGCAAGCACGCTGAAGCTGTGCAGGGCCCTGTGCAGGGCCTGAGCAGGGACTCCTGCAGACAACCTCGGCTGTGTGGTGGGATTCTCCCACCCTGGACCCCACGTCCAGCAGGCATCAAGCCCCGTTGACTGGTCACGTCACATGTGGATGTCTGCTCCATCTGCTAACTTGTCTCTCCATTTGATAGTCTGTTTCCCCCTGTGTTCTTCATTCTATCCTGGGCCATGACACCAGGGAAAATGCTGTTGCTGTTGTTGTTTTTAGTATCAGCCTCAATCTTAAATACTCAAATGACTACTTCTTACCCCGAGATTACAGAACAAACTATTCATACTGACATTCAGCGCCGTCCATAATCTTCTCAGCCAATTTTTCTACATCAATCTCCCACTCTCAGCCATTATAAATTCCTGTCTATAGTGAGATGGGATTAATTATATTCTACAACATGCTTTATTCTTTTATGTTTCCATTTTTGCCCATTTTACCATTTTTTGCTGTTTTTTTAAATTCCCAACCCACCATTTAGAGTGCCTACCACTATTTCATATACAGCATCTGAATTTTACTTCCACTACAAAATCTAAAAAGAAAATGTTCCAAGATCACCTCAGTTCACTGTAACCTCTCCTCCTAACCCTACAGGCCTCACCACCTGTATCTCCCCTTGGCATCAATGAGCAGCTGCTCTAAGTCGCTGGTCATTTTATGTGCACATGTGTTCTCTCGCCAATGGAATTACAAGCTCTTTGAGAGAAGTCCTTATAATATTTCTTAATAGATCTCTACAGCTTAGCATAGTTCTTTGAACATCACAGACATGGCATGAATATTTTCTGATTAACTGAACAAGAACGTCAGTGCTACCACACTGTAACCCAACTACAAACTTCATGCTATCCAGACTTTAAAAACCTAACCCAAACCACCTGAAAATATGCCCCCTCACTCTGCTCTCGTCCAACCGCTCTAAACACAGCAAACATGCTAGGCAAACCACTTGATCCTTTCCTCTTTCTCCCTTCACCTGGGAATGGTAATAAAAATACAAACCTCTCCAACGCCTCTGAGTAGTTATAAGCATCAAGTAAGGCAATGCATTCGAAAAGTTCTTTATAACACAGTACACATAAGTGAAGGAGTCCATTTATTGCTGGAACCTCCTCCAGCCCCTTGCTGACAAAGTCCTCTAGTGTGCCACGTGTGATTAGTTAGCAATGCCCTATTCAGTGGTACAGAATGAGAGCATTAGCCCATCCCTCTATCGATCATCGGCCTTCTGACTTCAAGGGGAAATAGATACAGTTCAGCGTAGCCCTGACAGCCAGGCTGAAACTAGAAACAAACAACAAGGCCAGCCACAACTGGGGCACTGGAGCCTTCAGGCACCAAGTTCCTACAGACCACCTGCAATGGGGAGGTTTTGGCTGGGATCTCAGCACAGCGAAAAGAGCCAGATTCCTAATTACCCATTTTTAAATTCTGGCCCAAATCTGATACTATGGTACTGACAGACGCCCTAACTGAATTTCAGCTGACTCTGGTTTTTAAGGGCTGTTTTGGCTCTGTTGCCTCGTTCTCTTGTGCAATCTAGGGCATATACCAAATACCACTCAGTTTTACAGCCTTGGCTGAAACCAGGAAAAAGCGCTTTACTTGAAACAAACTCTTTTATTGCTTACGTATTTAACTGAGGTTTGAGTGAGGGAATTTCCTGACTGTAGCCTGACTCCCTGTTTGACTTGATCCAATCCAAGAGTTGATACTGCTCTTGCCTCCAAAACTTTAACCATCACCAACAAAATAAACCTCTCCATATCCACTTGCATATTCAAAGCTCACAGAGTATTACGAAAGGCAAACCCAAGGGAATTATAAGACTAAATTAATATCTATCTTAACACAGAGAACTTCATCTTTGCTCAAATACTCCCTTTCATTTTTGAAAAATGTATATACTTTTACACATTGTATATTTAATATCTAAAATGTTCATCCCACATTTAATTAGAGGCAAAGTTCATTATTTCTAGAAAAATTTAAAATAAAACTATTATAGCACTTTTGTAAACTTATCCAGTGGGATAAAAATACCACAGCAATTTGATACTCACAACGTAAAAGGAAATTTTTCCAGTCGGAGCCCATCTCAAACTGGTTGTGCCGTTCCCATGCAACTGCTTTTAACCAGCGGAAGCTGACAACCAGTGATGACGTTTCAGGGTTTGACCAGCTGAAGCTGCTGAGTAGCTAAGACCTTTGAGTGACCTAGGCGCGGAGCCACATCAATCAACCTAATTGAAAACTTTTTTCTAACCAATAGAAAACATTTGTTTGACCTCTGAGTGACCCACATGCAAACTCACACTGACCTAATTGAAAACTTTTTTCTGACTAATAATAATTGGCACCTGTTTTAACCCATGCTCTACAGACTTATGGACTAATTCTGTCCTATCCAGAGCTCAAACTTCAATCTTTAATTAGCAAAGTCACCATGAACCGATCTCTTTCCTGGTACCTGCTAATTGTTGACTTTTTCCCGTCAACAAACTATTCAGCCCAGTTTTCCACAGATAGGTGTACCCTTGCCCGGCAGTGCGAATCACTGGATATCAGGCTAATTTTATAATATGCCTTTTCCTTGGCTTTACCACAGTGTAAAAATGGTACCATTAATACTGTAGTTTATGTAAGATTAGGGTTCATTTACTCATAG